CTTCTTTGTGTTCCAACATTAAACACACTCAAACAAATATTTACTGAATAAATAAAATATAGTAATTCTGATTCAAATATGAATTCTCATTCTAAGTTAAATCTTTGTAAATTTTGTGTGAGCTTTTATCAATGACTTGTTTAAGTTTTTAATAATACTCGTCGGGTTTTAAATATAAATAAAAATTTATTCAAAAACTAACTAATTTAATTCAAAATTTAATCAATATACATCAAATTTTTAAACTTTATTTTTTGGATTATATTACAATTATATCATTTAAAACCATAAAAAATTAGATCAATATAAAAATAGACGAAAAATGGACAACAAATTTCGCTATTACTCATTTTCAAATTGTAAAATTAAAATAATTTATCGATTTTGACAAATACTCTAACATTTTATATTTTTTGGTTAAATAAATATTTACTCAAATTATCATTTTGACTCAAAATACTTTACTTCAATTTTATTTTGACTCAAAATACTTTACATCAATTTTCTTTTGACTCAAATTTTTTTATTTCATAAAAAATTATACTTTAACTCTAAAACTATTAGTCAAAAAAATTGTTTCACTAGATATAATACTCGTTCAATGTATAGAAATATTGAGAAAGTGAATTTTAAAAATTATATTAAAGTCTAAATATTTTATTTTGAATAAATATAAGAGATTGTAACCATATTGAAAATATTGCAAAACTAAGTTGTTTATTGTCATTTCATAAAGATGAATCTAGATGGCCTTGATACATAGTTCTAGAATGGTCCTTCCGATAATATTGAAATATATAGCTATAGCATACATAAGAATTCTCAAAAAAAAATGTACCAAACGACAAAACCATCCATTACTACAAACCTAAGAATTCTAAAATTTTTATAAAAAATAATATAAATGACAAATAAATTGTAAAAGTGAACATAGATGATTTATTGTTAGATGGTTAGAAACAGATTGTAGTCTTTTTTTTAACAATCATTCATAAAATACAATTAAATATATAAAATTTCAAATTATTTACAAAATACAAATAAAAATATAATTATTAGTGAGTATATCTAATATTGATATTTTTCTTTCGTCTCCTATAGTTCAATGTATGATGTGTCTCTATTAAGATTTTCTATATAGTGAACCTTTCAAGAAGATCTTCCTGAAACTCCCATTTATCTATGACCTCTCTCTCAATAACAACAATATGATGACATATCAGTAGTACATCCACGACATGATCTATCATCTCCTGTTCCTATTCTAGTAACTCCTTATGATCTTTTATAGGGGAATCTCCTTTTGGATCTAGTGTCATATAAGTGTTTACAGTGATTTCTGGTAAACAACCGCTAGTCCTCCAAACTATCAAATAATCTTAATGACTGTTATTCAATCTCTCTGGTAACTTGCAGGATCGACTAGATTGATCCTATGGGGTATTGGTCGTTTGGATAACTCTAATTGTAAAACTGATATTCATAGTTAGGATTTGTATTTAGAATGTTTTATAGACGTTCAACTTACTTCGATTACCATGTTAAAAGAGTCTAATGACATGATCAAGTAAAGAAATACGAAACTGAATTGTATGAATAAAGATTCGATTGCAAAGAAATGTTTAAATGCAGAAATAAGTAAATGACTTTGAATGAAAAGACTTTAATGTAAAAAGCATGAATATAAAAACATGAAATGTAAAAGAGTTTCTGAAATGTAAAGGATTCAAATAGAAGAAAACGTTTAAATGCAAGAAATAAGTAAATGACTTTGAATGAAAAGACTTCTGAATGACATTGACATGAAAATGGAAGATAAACTGGAAAAGGTAAAGAGTTTTACTGAATTATAAATGTTTGGTGTTATCATACGTACATTGTTCGAGCATTCATTTCCCTAGCCATGTGGTATTTTGAATGTTTACTGAATTTTGTACAATATATATGACACACCGAAATTCTAATACTAAGACTTCTATTTATACTACTTCGACCATAACGGTCTTGCCTATAAGATTCTGCCACGTTCAGAACATGCAGAGCACTGCTCCTTTCTAGCTTCCACGCGTCTTCGAATGCTCCAGCGCATATATATTTGAATTCCAACATCCCGCTCGCGTTTGAATTTCAAATGCTTTGGCAATCTTCGCTTCGAATTCATTTCACAGACACAGTCTCGATGCCAACTTCGAGGCTTCTTTTAAACATATCTTCACAACTGACACTCAAAGCTCCGAACTTTGACATGTTCGTTCGAAGAATTGCTTCTACCATTCCGAACTGTAACATTTTGCTTTATTCCAACGAAACATCCATATTGCTTCATTTCAAATTGTATCATCAAAATCTTCAGCCAACAATAAGGATGTAATATTCTATAAAATTATTAGATGTTATCTTACATCGTACTCCACGAACAAGTATATGACACACTGCGTACATCTTCTAGCCCTAGATGCTCATAGTAGTCCTCAAATGTCACATAGACATCTATGCAGAGGACAATGGCAAGAGCAACAACTGTGGGTCCCAAGGTTACCGTGCATATGCCTGAATTATCGCAGTACACTCTCAAGTAGATGTGAATACATAATTCAAGACCCATAAACCAACCATTCAGAGTACCAGGATATCACCTCCAACATTCGTGTTTGACGTTACTCAACGTATAGTGTGAAACACATATCATTTTCCAGGATGTAGTCAAAAGCAAATTTGTACTAATTAGCCGTTGGATTACCCTTGAATGGGATAATCGAGCACACATGTGGCAAATCCTATGACAAGTCATTAACATATTGTCATCCGGAAACAAATGAAAAATGCTAGAGAATCCATGCCTGAAAATGGTTTAGATGAAATATTAATAAATGTGTAGCACAAGTATTGTAAAATTAATATCATTAAGGGTGTAATTAAATTAGTATCACGTGTCTCATCTTCCATAAACCACCTTCATCTAACTTGAGTATATGTATAAAATTATCTCACATTGTACTCATGAATCGCCTCTAACTCCTTGACATATTTAATGCAGACAACTTCGATATAGGTTACACTTTTGTCTATAAAAATGCAAGTGCAAACCAAGATCAGAAAATATGTCCTTAGTGTGCATACTCTGTGATGGGAAACTTCAGACTTATCACCCACAATATCTACAGTCGTATTCATGTGGTAAATATAGTTTTCTGATATGAATGATAGGCACGACATTCCCCGGTGTATTCTATCTCCCCTTTGGGATTTACCCGAATCATCCCCTAATTTTGTCAATATCAGATTGCGGGCCTCATGTTTAGTAACTCTATAGTGATCCAAGAATATTCTTGTGATCGAAAGATGTAGGAGGTAGGATACATCATCAAGTGTGATAGTCATCTAACCGGTCGAGAGATAAAATGACGACATTTTTGTGTGTCTCTCAACAAATGAAAATAATATACCATGGTCAATATAACCAACCATATTGAGTCCTGCAAAAGTCCTTCAACCCAAATAGCTCTAAGACTTCATGAAAGCGTGGTTCATTAGGTTATAACATCTTTTATAACTTTCTGCCATGATTTATACATTTCAACGTGTCATGATACTGCAAAAATAAATACATCAATGTCAAAAAATTCAATTAGTATAAAATAAATGTTTAAAAGAGTAATAAAATATTTATGTCACCTCTTCCTCCCACATGTGAATTACAACACGATGTGCATATAGAGGAAGTCACAAAGTGTCTTCGGGGCCTCCCGAAATACTAGTAGGCGTGACAAGTTCAGATGTGACTGTAGGATGTGGATCATGCACATGTACATCAGCATGAACAAGAGCAGCATATGCTTCATCAAGAGCCAAAATTATGATCTCGAGAAGATAATCCATCAGTACAACCCAACGATTCTCTAGTTATGGATCGCGAGAGTCTAACTTTCTACCTACACACTGAAGCATGTTAGGCCACTTGACCATGTATGTATCCCTATTGTTCCTCTATCATTTTTTCTATAATCAAACAGGAAAATACATATCAAAGTCAAAGAAGCGAAAACAATATATCAACAAATAAAATTATAAAACATAATGAATGACATAAACATCTGATTTTTGTTATCCTTACCAAGAGTTTGAATTTCAAAATCTGGACTTAAATGAAACAGAGCATCACAAAAAATGAGGATATAAAAATTTACCAAATATGAGAGATGTTTGTCTTAACTTGAATAGAGACAAGTGTTAATGAAGATCTTAGGTTTGAACCTACACGAGTAAAAACTTGACAGAAACTTTAAAACAATGTGAGAGATGAGAGTTAGACTTCTACAACGTTTTTTTTCTTCAAATGGAACGAAAAGAAAATAGAAAAACAACACATAAATACTTAAATGAAAACGTCCGAATTTTAAATTTTTTAAATGTAATAAAGAGTTTAAAATCCAAACATTTCTTTTACCTAATTTAGTAGTGGTTCTAAAAATGAGTTTATTGTACTTCATCTAACCTTATTTATTAGTAAAACTCTTCTAAATTTTTTATCATAAACATAAACAAATATCAACATATCAAAAACACATTTAATGTCTCTATTACTAAATTATACATACATTAATTACTTAATATTATTATTAATGGATAACTATATAATTAAGAGCAGATTAATAATTTTGTTATTTTAAATGAAATAAAAATAAAAATATCAAAAAATTTATTATAATTTAGTTGGATTCGATTTTTTCATTAAACCGTAGCACAAATAACCTTAAGTTTATTTTTCCCAAATAATTTTGTATATAAGAGATGTTTTATGGCGAAAACGGTGAATAATAAAATATTTATTTATTAAAGATAAACGTAAACGTGAGAGTCAAGTGTTTGTGAATCTCCAAGTTCCAAACCAATCTCATTCTCTGCGTTTTCATTCATCCCAAAAATCTCAATCAAACCCTAACCCTAAAAACCTAATCCCCAAATTCCCATCATTCTCAATTCAATTCAATCTCATCACCATGCTTCAGTCCCCAGGCCACTCTCCGCTCCATCTCTCTTCACCATCTCCTTCAATTTCCGAATTTTCAATCCAAAACCCTAAAGATTCTGGTTCCAGTATTCAACCCCAGAAGACACTGAGAAACCCAACGATTCTCGACGAAGATACCTATGCCGAAGCATTGGAGAAGATAATCGAGCGTGATTACTTTCCTGATATCTCGAAGCTTCGCGATCGGCTCGATTGGCTTGAAGCTGTCAAAACCGGCGATCCTGTTCAAATTAGGGATGCCCAATTGAAGATCATCGAGCGTCGCCGCGGTGGAAAGGTAACAACCCCTTTAAACCCTCTCGATTCGAGAAATTCGCATACCCCGGGTTCCACTTTTGTTAGAAATTTTACTCCTTTAGATGAATTTGATGGTAAAACACCTGTAACACCGGGTTTTAATGCTTCCGTGGGAGAGAAAGAGGAGGTTGGTGCGGTTGATACTTCGCTTGGGCTTGATCAGTTTATGGGTAGGTATACTAGTGAGGATAATGATAGCTTTTCCAAGATTTTGGAGAGAGTGAATAGGAAGAGGAAAGAGAGATTTGGGTATTTGAATGATAGTGTGAATGCGAATGCTATTGAGGATGAAAAGAGGGATAGGATAACTGATGGTTATGGTACCTCTTATCAACCTCCAAGTACATTGGAAGGATGGAAATATACTGCTAAGAATTTGTTGATGTACCATCCTGCTGATCGGGGTGAGGTTCCGTTGACGGAGGAGGAAAGGGCTGTTAGAATTAAAGCCTCCACGAAGGAGATTGATCGGCCAAATACTAGGTTTCATGGTAAAATGATGGATTCTAGGCCGAAAGATGATGGAACTGTTGAGGTGCTTTATACTCCTGTCGCGGGTGCTACTCCTGTTCCTATGTCTTTTAGAGATGGGGATAAGTTGAAGAAGTATGATTTGGAGGATTTGAGGAAGAGTCCGAATCCGTTTTATTTGGAGTCCGGGAAGAAGGCGGAGAATGGTTATAGCTATGTTAAGACGCCGTCTCCTGCACCAGGAGCTGATGAGTCTCCTTTTATTACTTGGGGAGAAATTGAAGGGACGCCGCTGAGGTTGGACATGGAGGATACACCAATTGATATTGGTGGTAGTGCTGATGGACCTCATTATAGGATTCCTTCTGCCCCGGCAAGAGATGCAAAAGCGCACTCACTTTCTAGAGAGGCTGCTCGTAATCTGAGGGAGAGGTCGAAGATGTTTCGTAAACCCCCTTTGGCATCACCGGCTAGAGGTGGAAGTGCTACTCCGAGCATGCGGACACTTTCTCCTGCTGCTCAGAAATTCGTTCGGAATGCAATTGCCAAGTCGTCATCAACTGTTGACGAGACGCTCCGTGCAAGTTACCGTGGTTCTAGTCCTGCTTTGGCTACTCCTACAAGAGTTAGAAGTGTATCAAGACTTGGTAGAGACGAGAGCTTGGTTTCCAGGTCTCCATCTGTTAGAGAGGGCTCCAATCCTCCCTGGTGAATTGTTGTAACATATTTTGAATCATTTATAAATGAATGCACTGTATGTTTTTTTTATCCTGGATGTTAAACTAAGCTCAGAATGTTAAACTTAAAGGTTTTTGTTACTAGCTGCCAGAATGCAAAATTGTGTGGATAAAGCTCTCCAATCAATCCCCTGTATATTGAAAGCATTGCTGAACACAGGATTTAACTATCTTTGATCTTTTTGCTTGTTTGCTGTTGTTATTTAGGCCTTGTTCTTATTGCCAAGTTTCATCATGTTTATTTTTTGCTCAAAAGACGAGGTTATTTCGCGTTTCATAATCTTTAGTACATGCATGATATACATATATTCAACACAGATGATAGATGGCAGCTCAATGCTTATTTTATGGTATGGCCTATTAAGCGATTTATGAGACGACGAAGGTAGGATACAAGACTTAGGAAGGCTGTATGCAATTGTACTCTTTCTGCCTTTCGGTTCTTCCATCGGATCTGCTTGCCCTTGATAAAGTCAGTTATTGGTTCAACCTTAGGTTGCTTAAAATATGAGCTCTGTTATTGGTAGTCTTGATAAAGCATTGAACACTCACAAGACTTGACAACAGTTTTGTTATATAAAAATGTCAGTTCATGGGGATTTAGACTTTTAGGCTAATGTTTCACAGTTGAATTTTGTAGGAAAAAGGAGGAGAGAATTTCTTTTCCATTTTTAAATTGTAAAATGGTCTTAAAATCGATTAAGAAGGTTATATTAGAATCAATTATACCTTCTTTTCATTCTGTTTTTCTTAAACATACTTTGGAAATCCTTTAATCCTGTGAAATGTTCATTACATATGATTATGTACGTGATTGTTTACATTTGCAACTTTTTTTCCTTTTCCATTTTCGTTTTAAACGTGTATGGCATTTTTTTTAGACCAGAAAGACCGGTTTTTACGGAAGTAAAAGTACAGTTAGATAATTAAAATAATAAAACAATAGAGGAACACTAATGGATTTTTTATTTATTTTGGGAACTGAATAGGAGAATGGGTCAAACTTTTTGGTTTTAAAAATATAACTTTGGAAGGATTGTGAGAGGAGGGGATTATAAATAAAATTTTAAATTTTTTTGTTTGAGATATTTTGAATAGATTGATATTATGACCACATGAATTAGAAGATTTTATAAAATTATTGTCCATTAATACTATTTTTTTTTAAAGAATGAAAAGAAGAGAAAATAAAAAATATGGATATAATAAAAGAGTAACAACAATAATTAATTGGTATTATACTTTTTTTAGATGAGATATTGTAATGATAAAAAGAGTAGTTTTTTTTTACAAGTGAAAAAAGAAAAAGAAGTAAAAATTATTTAGAAAATAAAGTCTCACTAGCATCCGTTAGTAGAAGAATGATGATTTTTACAAGAGGTTCTGCAAAAAGACTCGTACACTACATCATTATCCATTTTATGTTTTGTTAGATAGTCAACACAAGCATTCTCCTCCCATAGAAAGAAGTTTTTTAATGTTGTGAAGAATCACGATATAGTAAAGTCAAACATTAATAGACTATGAGATAAGTTTGATAGCAGAGTTGGAGTCACAATAACATATTAGGTCTTTGATGACAAGTTTCTAGACAAACTATGATATAACACAACCAGTTCAACATGAAGGATGTGGGAATAACTAATACTACATGCAAAACCGTTAACTCAAGCACCGTTATCATTTTGAATCAATCCACCAAAACTCGAGACATTGGAATTACCAAAATTACTGCCGTCAACACTGAAAATTATATTACTATCTTTGTGTGCATTCCACGTGATCGTTATTGTTGGATGAGTCATATTATGTTTGAGAAAATATTTAGCTAAAAGATTAGCATAATTCACTGTGATAATTTTAAAGTATAGAAAGATATCACTTTATTCACAAGACATAATTTGTTCTAGGACGCCACAACCACCAACAAGCAACCAAAAAGATGTAAGAATAAGATTTGGTTCTACACCTTGCCTTTCGTTTTGATGATAATAATATATTGTTTGTTAGAGAATAATTTTGTACCCTAATATTTTTGTCTAGTGTGTAGCTTTTGCTAATAGGTTCTGACTCTGATAGAATGGTGTGTGACGTCATCTTTTAGAATCAATACACTTTGACTATGGAGAGATACAACATATGTGTTATAAGATACTGTTAAGTTTAAAAATGTTTCTAAACAACGGTTCTGATGAACGTTAGTCTGGAGCTTCTGGCTGTGGTTTTGATGGTAGAGCTTCTGAGGACTTCTTAAACTCCGAGATTCAGAAGAACAAGTTCTGAAGACAAGGTTCTGCTGAACAAGTTATGAAGACTCTGAAGACAAGTTTCTGAAGACTCTCATTGTATTTTGATCCTTCTAAATATACTTTAACAACACATTTTCTAAAGTCTCTAAAGATTAGAAGATAAGATCAAAAAAAATTATGTGAGTAAATAGTGCATGGTACAAGATTAAATACTCCTTCCACGACACTGATTTGTGGCGCAAGGATTGTACTATGTTACAATGTTGTCTACCACTCACACTAACCATTATACAAGAATACAATTGGAATTTGGAATTCTCATTCTATCCTCCAACATATCTTTCTTTGGCTATATAAGGAATACTTGGAAGAATGAAGAAATAACTTTGCACCATTGAAAAAAATTTGCGCAAAATTCTTTGATTCATTTATTCTTTTGTAAAGAGCTGTAAAGCAAGAAACTTTTGTTCATTAACTTGATAAAACACTTTTGTGTTTATCATTATATTTCAACTTGTGTAAGTATGCTTTCTCAGAAGCATCTTGTAAATACACATCTTTATATTTCAATTTTTGAGTTGATTGTTCCTTAAGAGAGCAGGATTTCTCAAGAAGAGATTGATGGGTAGTCTTTGCGGTTTGTAATCAGTTTGATTATAGTGAATTAAGTTCTTGTTGAGAAATGAAAAATTACCTTGACGGATGGACTGGATTAACTTCGTTAACAGTGAACCATAATAAAAATGATTGTGTTTATTTATTTTTGTTCTTGTTTCATCCCTGTTTGTTTGTGAAGAAAAAGTTTTCATTTCTAGAAACCCAATTCAAATCCATTGTTTCTTGTGTTTCATGTATCTTCAATTGGAATCCGAGTTTTGGTTTTAGTATTGATTGTTTATCAAACACTTAACCGTGTCAAATAAAGATCCGGATTTTTTTTGTGAAACACTATAGCGGGAATCATTCCACCAGTTGCACTCGTTACGAATGAAAGAGATAACTATAACATCAAACCCCTAGTCTGTGATGGAGAAAGATTTGACTACTGGAAAGACAGAATAAAAAGTCTCTTTCTTGGTCACGATGTTGATATATGGGATATGGTAGTCTATGGATATGAACTTCCTGTTGATGCTAGTGGGAATAAGATAGAAAGAAGAGTGATAAATGAACAACATAAGAAAGCCTACAATATTCACCACAAAGCGAGAACCATTCTACTGAATGTTATTTCTTACATCGAGTATGAAACGATAACAAATAGAGGCATTACAAAGTCTATATTTGATTATTTGAGAATGACTCATGAAGGAAATGTCCAAGTTAAAGAGACCAAAGTGCTTGCCTTGATTCAGAAGTATGAAGCATTCAAGATGGAAGATGATAAAATTGTTGAGAACATGTTCTCAAGGTTTCAAACTCTTATTGCAGAACTGAAAGTTTTGAACAAAGGGTATTCTATTACATATCACATCAAGAAAATTATCAGAATCCTTCTCAATAAATAGAGGGCGATGGTAACTGCAGTGAAGCTAGCTAAGGATCTAAACAACACTTATCTGGAAGAACTAGTTAGTTTTTTGAGAAGCTATGAGATAGAGCTTGAAGAAGATGAGCCTCAGAAAAAAGGAAAAATCAGTTGCTCTAAAATCCTTTGGAAAGTTTAAAAAGAATGGAGCTCTTCAAGCTGAAGAAGAAGAAGAATCTGAAGAAGATTCGGAAGAAGAAGAAAACGAGTTGTATCTTCTCTCCATAAGGATTAATCAACTCTGGAAGAAAAGACAAGGCAAAGGAAGAGGATTCAGAAGGATAGATGGTCTCTTCGAATCAAGTTAGGGACAAAGGAAGTCAGGTGCAAACAAAGACATCACATGCTTTGAATGCAAGGATCCATGTCATTAAAAGAATGAGTGTCCCAAGCTCAGAAAAAACAAGCCAAAGCAAAAAGACTTCAAAGGGAAGAAGAAGAAAGAGTTAATGGCTACATGGGATGACTATGATTCTTCAGAAGATGAGTCTGATGAAGAAAAAGCAAACATAACATTGATGGAAAGCATCAAAGTTTCTGATGAGAAGATTGAGTCAGAGATAGAATCATAATCTGAATCAGATTCTGAAGAGGTATTTTCTAAACTTCCTTGTTCTGAATTATATTCTTATTTGTGTGAGATTCTAGAAAAATATCAGGAACTTCAGAGCAAATAAAAATATTTAAAACAAATCCATGTATCTGAATCTGAAGCATATAACAAGCTTAAAAAAGAATTATCCGTTTTAAATGAAAATTTTATTCTTAAGAATGATAACTCTGCTCTCAAAAGCAAGAGTTTTAAACTTGGGGAATAAATTCTTTCAAAAACTTATACGAGTTCTGATGATGTCATAAAGAAGTATGACAAATATTTTCAAAAATTCCTTGCTAGAAGCCTAGATAGAAGCATAATGGCTTCAATGATCTATGATGTCAGTAGAAACGGAACTAAAGGAATTGGTTATGATTCTAATGAATAATCTACTTCTAAAAAAGATGAAAAATCAAATACTCTTAAGCCTCACTTTGTACCCGTTGGTTATGTGCCTAAAGAAAATTTTATTTCAAAACCTAATGTAAAAACAAAGGCTACACCTCGTCATTTTAATTATTTATATAAATATGTTTATCTTGCTCAGAAATCCAAAGTTGTTAATAACTCTAGGAGTACTAACAAGAAAGGACTCAAAATAAT